TTCAGTACAAATCGGCAATTTCATACTTTAACCCCTATTACAATGTCAATTGACTACTATTAGTCGAGCGCATTCGAATTGTGCAGAAAAATGGACACTTCTGCGAAGTGATGAGTCGCATGTCGATATTGACTTATAATTATGGTACAACACTAAATCAACAATCAATGCTTGATTATATCAGTACAATTTTGGTTTAGGTAGGTACGTTTATTCCGTAGATAGGGCAGCTCCTTCCCTTTATTTTTTCCCATCTTTTAAGACCTATTCGCGTTTGTGAAAAAATGGCATATTGAAATAGAGAGATGTTGAAACTTTATTGCAAATATGAAATGATTCTAACCAGTGCGGTCTGTGATTAAACAGTAGAGAGACCATTATCGCTTACAGAAGGGAGTATCCAGAGAGACAGTTTCCTTCTCGTAAGTACTTACTCAAGCTGGATAACACTTATGACAGGATAACAGATCCATAAATTATGGATCTTTTGCTAGAAAAAAAAGGTATAAGAACAAGGTCTCCTCAGTTTAATGATGTTTTAGATAACAATATTATTAACTACCTACTAAATAATCCACGCGAATCGATGCGTTCAGTGGGACGCTTATTTCGGGTGTCCTATCATTATGTACTCAAATTAATAAAAAACACAACTTGAAAGCTTTCAAGATAAAGTCATCATCGGCTGGTCTATTGCCATTCGTTAGTTAATAATTACATTAATGTAAGGTCCATTTTATAGACCTACGAAAGTACCTAATGTTTCAAACTGCGGCATTTACAATAGCAAAATTCGCATTTTTGGTCAATTGATAGGGTAGACCGGAGTCGGTTGAAACAATTTTACTTCAGTCGCGTGTAGTGCAGTATCTTTAGTATTTACAGACAATAAGTTAATATCAGTTCAAGAAGAATATATTCAGTTCTTAAATAAAATGTATTTTATTAATCTATCACAATCAGTTGAGACTCAATCCTTATAAAGAGGATAGGGAAATGTGGTTCAATTTACCCCATTACAGGGTCAATTGAAACAGTACGAAAGGTAAATAGAAACACTCGATTATCTTCGAAAGTATGTAACTTCATTAATCAGTCTTAGTAATTTTCATCAGTCTAACAATATTCAGCGAGATCGTCAAAAG